GTCTATATAAAAATGGGCACAAATTCTCTCATTGAAAGCCTTGCTAGGTAAGACCTCATAGGTTAAATAAATTATAGTTATCCAATTGATGTAATACCTCGTTTAAAACCTTTTTTTAGTCTCGTTTAAAACCTTGTGAGGAAAAATCCAATTGAATTTTGATTAAAGGGGAAAAAGTACATTACATATAATACTCTCCCTTATTTTACTTAGCTTCCAATGACAACGAACCACAATCTTGTGCGCTAATTGATCATTTTTTTTAAAGGAAGAGACTCTGTAAACAAATATCGAGATTTTATTTCACATGATGGCCTATTTGGAAACCATTGAAATTCTTGATTTGGCCTAATTACACTGTTTGGGTTTACTCTGAATTTGGGGATTGGATTTGGCCCAATTCTAAGGTTTTAAAACATAAGTTAATTTTTAATTAAATTGAAATTCCAACTTTAAAGCTGTCATTCCAAATTCCAATATAGTTATAAAAAAACACACAACTCTTTCTCCTATGCGTAATTTCTTAAATTCTCTCTCCTAGGGTTGGGTTCTCTATTTTCGCTCTCCTCCATTGAAGAAGAACTTGAGTTCAATACTCTAAAGTAGCGTGTTCTTCTCTATTAAAGGAACTACTGAGCTTTCTCGATCTCCTCCGTCGAAGTGTTTGTCGATTAATCCTCCATTGTAGTGGCTTTGAGCTCTCTTTTCCATTGAAGCTAGCTTACCTTGAATCCTCCATTAAAGCGTACCTTAATCCTTCCTTGTAGTAGCTTTTGAATTTCTCTACTCTTCAAACCTCCCTTCTTTTTGATCAGTGTGATAAGCTTTCGATTTTCCCCTATTTTTTGGTTGTTTAATTTTGTCAATTTGATAAAATTAGGGCTACTCTATTGTTAAGTTTTCCCCCAATTCGTGCTTCAATTTTGTTGTAGTTTCAATGTGTTTGATTTATGCGACGGATTTCTTGTTCTTCGTTCTTCTTTATTTTTTAGTCATTTTTTTCTAGTTTTTTTTTATTCTCCGAGTTTTGATTAAATTCATGTGTAAAAGCTTATATTTTGGAAAAAAAAATAGTGAAAAACAAAAACAAATTCTGGAAATAAATGGTGGCAAAAGAAATTAATTTTGTTGATTATAATAAAATGGATATTTTGGATTTTAACACCTGACAAAAGGCTGAAAATGGTTTTTAACACCCCCCAAAAAAAAACTTTTATTTTAACACCTCCCAAAAATATAAAAGTTGGAAGTTAACACCAGTTAACGATTTCCGTCACGGAAATTTAACGTGGGTCCCATAAATTGGCTTCAACTCTCCTTCGTTTTCAATTTTTTACGAAACCCACCTTCGTGGCTGCCATCCCATTTTTTCTTCTTATTCCTCCCTTCATCTTTTCTTCGTCTTCTTCCTCCCTTCATCTTCATGGCTGCCATCCCAAACTCTTTCCTTCGTTCTTGCCCACCCTCCCCTCAACTGCCACCCCTTCCCTCCCCCCTCCCTTTCCCCCACCCCTACGCTGCCAACCGAACCCACCCCCCTTCCCTTTCCCCGTTCTCGCAACCAAATCAGCTCCTCTCCAAATACCAGCCCACAATCGCAACCCCTGCAGCCACCTCCTCACTCAAACCGCAAAAAATCAATTCCCAACATCAATTCCCGAAATCAGAGCAAATCGCAGATCCATCGAACCTCGTCTAGAAATCAATTTAAGTTTGCCGAAAAAAGTTACGGTGTGGTGGTTTAGGGGTTAGGGTGGCCGAAAAGGTTAAGGCGGGTCGATTCGTTAGGGTTTGGAGCAAAGTGTTGCAGAAGAGTGGTGGTAGTGGTGGTGGTTGCGGCGATTCAGATCTTTGATTGTGGTTTCGGTGTGGTGGCTTGGGTCGGGGCAGCAGGGGAAAAGGGAGAGGGTTGGGTTGCGTTTGTGGGGAAAAGGGGTGGGATGGGTTCGCCGGTCGTCGGTCGGGGGAGGGAGCTGGGTGGCTAACGGGATGGGGCAAGGTTGGTTTCTTGGGTGGTTGATTTAATTTTGGTGGCCGGTCCCCAGTTAACATGTTTGCTGGCTGCGAAGGCTTGGTCAGTAGCCGTACAGGGCCCTTTATGGGCGGCGGAATTGGTGGTAAAAAAAATGGAAGTTCTCAGTCGCTTTGTTCTCCAACGAAGGAGAAGATGAACCGGTGTTGAATTTTTATTTATTTTTTGTATGGTTTGATTTATGAGCACCAAAAATCTGTAAATCTGTAAATTATGAGCACCAAAAATCTGTAATGGATAAAATCAATGAAATGAAGGTTCAGAGAGGAAGTTTCGTGTTTTGCTGGGTGAAAATTGAAGTTGAAGCCAATTTGTGGGACCCACGTTAAATTTCCGTGACGGAAATCGTTAACTGGTGTTAACTTCCAACTTTTATATTTTTGGGAGGTGTTAAAATAAAAGTTTTTTTTTGGGGGGTGTTAAAAACCATTTTCAGCCTTTTGTCAGGTGTTAAAATCCAAAATATCCTAATAAAATTATAGCGAAATAAAAAGCGAAGAAAAGTAAAAGGATACTTGTTAGTGAAAAAAATAGGATGAAGGATATTATCCTTTTAGCTTGAATCCAAGATTGGAAATTCTTTGTTTCCCTAAACAAGTTTTTGGAATTAAAATTTCAAATTTGAAATTCTTAATTTGCTAAACATGAAACCTGGAATTGAATTCTAGAAATTGAAATTCTGGAATTGAAATCAATTATTTCAAATGAAATGCAAGTATCCTAACACAACCTTATTGAATTTTTTGAATATTTGTATTCTTTTCTTTCAACAAATCTTGTGAGAAGAAAAACAATTTCGGGATAGGTGTTTGTGTCTAGTCTTGCATGATGGATCCTTTGGTCACTTAGGAGATGCATGCAACTTTGTCTTCATAATTGATGGCTGAATTATCTATTACTGCCCCACATTCCTCTTGAATATTGTTGATCATTGATCTAAGACATACACATGTTTTGCTAAAGAGCGATCAACTCAGCATGATTTGATTATGCTATGATCAATATAGTACCCCGTCTTTTTATACGTATTTTAATTTAAATAAGTATTTTGTGAAGTATTTAAATAATTCGAAATGAATTATTTATGGCATTTTAATTATTGATTTTAATAATTTGGAAATATTTTATAAAAGGAAATATATTATAAAAGGAAAATTTTAAAAGTTAAAGTAAAAAGTTTGAATAGGAAAGGGATTAATGAGGATAGAAAGGGAATTTAAGTATGGAGAGTTTCTAGAGAAAAAGGGGTATAAATATTCAACACATGGGCAATTTAAGTATGAAGAATACCCAAGGTAATTTTCTCTCCCTTCTCTCTTATTTTTCTTTTCTTTCTTACTTTCCCTTTCCTTTTATTTTTACACGGCCGACACCACCACCACGCACCACTGGCCGACCACCTCAGCCACCAGCACACACGCCAGCAGCCGCGACAACACCGGCGGGCGCGACAGCAGCCCAACCGCGTGTCGTGGTGGCTGTTGCTGCTGGCGGTTTCCAAAAAAAAAGTTTTTTTTTTAATTTCTTTGCGTAATCCTAAAACTAGCCTTTAATTAATTAATGTTTTGAATATTGGTGATGATTTTGTGATGATTGATTATATATATTATGCAAGTTAATTTTTAGAATTGGTTTAAAATTAAAAAGTTCCAAATTGAAAACACTAGGTTTATAAATTATTTTATGATGATAGGATTTGATTATGGGTGGTTTAAATCTTTGATTTTGGCGTTTTAAATCATATTTACAGCAACTTTTAAGGATTTAATAAAGCTGAAAATTTTGTTAGTAAGCCATAATCACTAGTAGAAAAAACAAAATTGGCACCGGTTCAAAACCCCTCAACGCCAGACCTGGCAATCTTGACCCAGACTCGATAACCCGACCCAAATGACCCGACCCATGACCCGAAATCAGTGACCCGAAATTGACCCAAAACCCGAATTAACCCGACTCGACCCATACCCGACCCGAAGTGGAACTGACCCGACCTTGACCCAAAACCCGAAATGACCCAACCCAAAACGACCCGACCCAAGATGACCCAACCCAAAGTTGACCCGAGACCCGAAACGACCGACCCGAAGTTGACCCGAGACCCGAAGTTGACCCGACCCGAAAATGACCCGACCTTTAACTTCTTTTAGTAAATAACTGTATAAGTTTTAAAAAGTTTATATTAGGAAATTATACATTAAAATAGACCCAACAACATCTTACATGACAACATTGACTTTCATTTAATAGCTAAAAAGACGGTCAAAGTGAGATGTGTAAATAGTGCAAAATGTCAAATCGTTAAGAGTAATTTAGGACGGAGAGAGTATAAGAATAATTCAAAGAAATTATTACAACAATGACAATTATAATAAGAGTACGTATTAAACTAAGATCAATAAGAGAGTGAGGTATAATTCAATTAGTTAGAGCATCCCTCTTAGTTTTAGGAGATCCTGGAAGTGATTCTCAATTTAAACACACACACACACACAAAAGGTTAATATAAGCCAAACAATTACTATATTCCATGAAAAAAATAGCCTTAATAAATATAGTGAGTTTTTCGTCATTAAATAAATAAATAAATATACAGAGTTGAATTTAACCCAATGAATCACCCGAATATGACTCGACTCAAAGTTGACCCGACCCAAAGTTAACCCGAAAATTGACCCGACCCGAACGACCCGAAAATTGACCCGACCCGAAAGACCCGAAAATTGACCCGACCCAAACTCGACCCGAAGTGTTGACCCGATACCCAACCCGATCCGATTATCAGTCGACCCGAAATCAACCCGAAACCCGAAATGACCCGACCCGAACTTGACCCGATAACCTTTTGACCCGAACTTGACCCGACCCGAAATGACCCGACCCATACCCGACCCGAATGACCCATTTGCCAGGTCTACTCAACGCCACCAATTTTGAACCGGTGCCAATTTGGAGGGTGCCAATAATCGCATTTAAAGCCATCGGTTTGAACCGCTGGGAAAACTTAAAATTAGCACCGGTTAACCGGTGCCAAAAATGTCCAAATTTTTTTTTTGGTCTTTTTTCACTTAAAAATTAGCAATAAACTCATACAACACCAAATATAATTGAAATTCATAATCAGTAATTACACACCAAATGTTATACATATACATAATAAATTAATACATAATATAATTGAAATTCATAATCAGTAATTTTACACTTGCCAAAATAAAAAGAAAAAAAATAAACAAATGGATTTGAAGAGATCCCTGAATTGCAGATGCTCGGTAGCTGAATTGCAGAAGCAGTATTGGCCATCAATTTTCTCCTCCGACCCTGACTTCAACGAAGATGACTCACGAACTGAAAAAAAAGCCAGAAAACTCAAAATTATAAAAAATAGAAAAAACATAAAATCCCCGGAAAAAAATAACCCAGAAAACTCAATATAAAAAAAACCCAAAAAACACATGCATGATGTACCCAGAAAAATAAAAATCGATTAATTAACCCAAAATTAAACCCAGAAAAAATGAGAAAAATCGAATTAAAATACCCAAAATTGATTTGAAAAAACCCCAAAATCGAATTAAAATACCCCAAATCGAGTTAAATAAACCCAATATCAATTCGAAAAAACACTAAAATCGATTCGAAAAAACCCCCCAAAATCAATTCGGAAAAACCCAAAATCAATTCGAAAAAAAACCCAGAATAAATTAACCTATAATCAATTCGAAAAACCCAAAAAAATTCGAAAATCACTTAACCCTTAAACCCTAACCTCGAATAATTAAACCCAATAACATGCACTAACCTCGGACTTGGTGGTAGCGGTGGTTAGTGGCGGTGGTGGTGGTGGGCAGGAGACAGAAGAGAGAAGAGAGGGGAAAGAAGAAGAGAGGGGAAAGAAGGGGAGAGAGAGGGGAGCTTAATTCGTGGTCGGAGAGAGAAAGAGGACAGAGAAGAGAGGAGGGTGAAGGAGGAGAGAGAAGAGAGAGGCGCATAAGAGATATTGAAGCTGATGAGGGTTAAGTTATTTTAGGGTTAGGGGATATAAAAGGGGAGACAAAAGGACCAAGCTAAGGCCGGTTTTTTTTTTTTTTTTTTTTTAAATTAACAAGGCCACCGGTTCAAAATCGGTGGGTTTAATGTTTTTCCCACCGGTTCAATTTGAACCAGTGGCAATACTCTCCCCTCAAAATCCCGCCCATTTTTCCCCACCGATTCTTAAGAATTGGTGCCCGTAGAGAGGTGCCAATTTCGTTTTTTCACATAGTGAATTGAGTTTCTTGAAGGAATTTTTTTATTACCCATTATTTGGGATTAAAGTAAAGGGTTTTAAATAATTTGTGAGTGATTTAATGAGGGTATATATTATTTGTGTGGAGTTGATATTAAAACCTCTTTATAATTTTGGAATGTATGAGACTTCCAAGTGAGTGATTTCATATATTCGTGGTGATTTTAAGATCGTATTCAAGGTACGTTTCTGTACTTGGTATTTATTTGATGAAGTAGAAACATGCTAGGCTTTGAATAATCAATTCCAAATAGTATCATGATAGGTTTTGATTGGAATTTGTTATTTGGTTGATGTTGGTGATTGAATTATGAAGCATGGATTATTTATGATGGATTAGTGATTAAAAATAATTATATTGGCATATTGAGTATGAACCACACTTTTATTATTGGCATGACAGTGAGCATGTTTAATTAAACTAAATGTTTAATTTGGTTTGGAATATTGAAAAGGATTTTTTATGGTTCATATAATTTTTATTAGGAAAAATTGCTCCCATTAATCTGAACTTTGCCTCGTCCGCCCAAATTAATCCCTACTTTGGATTATTCCCTATCACTCCCAACTTTAGGGGGTATTAATTTCTATTGCACCCAACCGGTCATCCAACCTAATATTATAGGTTACAATACACGTGTCAGCCTATAATTGGCTAAAAAAACCCCCACAAACCACCTATGCCCAGCCCGGCAAACACCACACCCCCACCCCCACCCCGCAGGAAAATCGGCCCCATCCCCGAAAATCCCTCCCCCCATTGCCGGAAACCGCCGCCCAGCCACCCTTCCCTTCCCCTACCCCCGAAAACCCCTCCCCCACCCCTTCCCTTCATCCACCCCCGAAATTAGCCACAAAATTGGCCACGAACGGCCAAAATCGGCCGATTTAGGGTTAATACAAACAATTTAGCCCGAAATTCGACCGTTTTAAGCCAATTCTGGTTGTCGTTTTCAGGGAGAAACGGGGGTGCATTTCTGGTGGTCCTTTTCAGCCGTTTTGGGGGGTGCTTTTGGCGTCGAGGTGGTCCAGGGGTTCTTGTGGTGTTGGTAAGGTGGCTAGGTTGTGCTGCTAGTGGTTGGGGCTGAGAGAAGCTAAGGGGAGGTGGCGGTGGTGGAAGGGGGTGGGATGTTGGTTTTTTTTTTAATTTTGTTTTTTAATTTTCTCTATTTTTTTCAACCAATTACATATTGACACATGTGTAAAAAACTAATTCACAAATGTTTACCTGATTTACCGGTTGCAAGTCATTTGGGTGCAATAAAAATTAATACCCCCTAAAGTTGGGAGTGATAGGGAATAATCCAAAGTAATGATTAATTTGGGCAGATGAGGCAAAGTTCAGATTAATGGGAGCAATTTTTCCTTTTTATTAATGCTATAAGCATGAGGAAAGAGCTATTTAAGTGTCTATGTACATGAAGAATAAATTATATATTGGTGCCTTAGTGCACTTAAGGTGTTTCCAACACCGGGATAGATATTTTGGCGCATTATGCGTTTAAGGTGTCTTTGACACCGAGGTAGATTAAAAAAGGTTCAACATTAAATATTATGTGGTCACTAATTATTCAAGAATTAAATTGGCGTGATGAAATGTTTGACTAATTATGATGGTTGAAATGTGTTATGGTTTGAGAGTCATCATCAAGTCTAATAATATGTAAATAACGTAAAGTGAAAGAGGTTACGCACCAAAACTCTTGGAATGCATATATCTTGAGTATGAACATATGAGGGGAGTTATGAGACTTTATATTCGACCATAACTTCTACTGGGAGTACCAGGCGCCTATATTCCTTTTTTTATTATTATGTGTAGGAATTCCGCTACTTACGAGTGGTTCTTTTATATTGGCACGGTTAGATCCCATGTTAGTACCCCTTTATTGGGGCAGGTTAGGGGGAAACTCGGTCGATGCGTAATCAATACTAAATAAATAAATTAATGATATAATTAAATGTCATGTTGTATGTTGTTTGCTCGTAAACAGGTGCAACAAGGTAAGTTGTGTGATGATAGGTGAAAGCATGTTAGTGTGTTTTAATTATGCTTATGTACCCAACTTTGCTGATTGTATGTTGTATGGTTGTTTGGCCTTGTCTTTACTTTGGCCCTACGACGACCCATTTCTAATGGAGAGTAGTGGGGACGAGTATAGAGGACCTTTTCAGGTGATGAAGCATATTCATGATGGGCATGATGAAGAGCGAATCATGCTTAGTTTCCATAAGTTTATGATTAATGTGGATTATTGCTTTGATTATTTTATTAAATTATGCGTGTGAGACTAATGCAAAGGTTTTTAAGTTGGTTTGGTTTTAATAAGGTCCTACAATGGTTCCAAGTTGTAGGTTGACTTTGTTTTACTTTGGTTTGACTTTGCTTTCGTTTGGTTGACTTTTAAAGTTGAATTGTTTTTACAGTTTTTAAAGATAGTCTTCCGCTGTGTGTCTTTGATAGTTGTCTTAGCCGTTTTCATGGTAGCGGTAGTGTCTTAGATTTTTCTATTTGACGTTTTAAAAAGAGCAAAACAGGTATTTTAAAGGAAAAGAATTTCTAGGGTGTTACAATCAAAGTTTGCTTTATTGATTTCCAAGATATTGCAGTGCCACCATAAGTGAACAATTATCCAATTTTTGACTTAGCATTTTTTGAGTATGATAGGTATCCAACATCTGCATATCCGATGAGATTGTCATCGTGTCTTCATTGATAGAACAAACCAAGATCATGTGTTCCTTGTAGGTACTGATATAAATGTTTTATTCCTTTCCAATGTCTATTCGTTGACGAGTTACTATACAAGCTAACAAGTTCATAGAAAAACCTATATCAATCAATTTGTAAAAAGAAAGGAAGTTGTCAATAAATATAATCATGTGAAAATTTTATTTGTCTATTTTCTCACTTAGTCCCTTCATTCGAAGAAATTTGAACAATTAGTGTACAAAATTGGAAAGCATTACCTTTGTGAGCTATTTAATAATCAGGGGGAATATTAATACATTGCACACTTTCTCCTTTCCATTAGGTCTTATCTCATTGAGTTATTCCTAACAAAGTATTTAACAAGGAAATGCATAAAATCACTTTTAAAAAATTTGTTATACTCTTATTTCCTAGCTAGCTAAGGTATTTATCCCGTAGGATTTTTCCTACCAAAGTTTTATGAAACAACTTATACCTCATTTTATACAGACATTCCAAGGGAGGTGTTATGTGACATGATAAGACTATGTAGATGAATGCCCCACAATGTTTGACAAATGGAAATGGTCTTATTTATTGCATGATACAAAATTTCTTGCCACTTATCTTAGAAAACTATGTGATAACTGTACCCAATAGTGTCATTTACTGTCTATATTAATCATGTGAATATGTATCATTGTAGGGAGAAAGATAATTTATCATTGTAAGGCGTTTTTGTACTCCTTGCTTTTATATACTTTGTAATAAAATAAAATTACTCTCTCTCTCTCTCTCTCTTTCTCTTATACTTTAGAGTACCCTCCTCTTTATAATTAGTTTTTCTTTTTACACAAACTTTTTAAAAAACCCGATGTACACAAATATAGTGTATGGCGCGGCGGTAACAAATACTGTAAGAAATAAATTTGTTACTCCACCAAATTCTTTCACAGTACACGAGCTTCCAGTTGGCAAAGAAATTTGTTACAAACATTTTTTTCTCTCTTCCTCATATTCTACTTTAATTTCTATCTCTTCCTCATATTCTACTTTACTTTCTCTCTCTTGTTCATACTTTACTTTCTCTATCTTCTTCATATGCTTCCATTTTCATCTTATTTTCCCTCAATTCTTCGGCTCACATTCCTTCTCTTCTACACAATTGTAGAAGTTTTTTGATGAATTTTTTGAGCAAGGAGTAGAAAGAGAAGATTTGAAATCGAAAGAAGGTAAAGTGAGCTATAACTCGAAGAAAGAGTCGTCGTCATCATCGTTGCTTTGCTCGATGAGATGGTCGGACATGGTGGAATCGGCGATGGTTTCAGCGCTATCGGCGTCGCTAGTGGTGGTTCCGACGGCGACTTTTAATTTGTTTGAGTGATTGTACTGTTTTTTCATGACTATTGTTAATTTTGTGTTTATTTTTGTTGATTTTGATACTCTGTTTTGCATATGTAGCTTAATTCTGTTGTAAAAAAATGGTCACTTTTTGTGAGAAAAAAAAGGTCACTTTTGTAAACAAAAAGGGTCACTTTTGTGAAAAAAAGTAACTTTTGTAAACAAAAAGGGTCACTTTTGTGGAAAAAAAATCACTTTTGTGGAAAAAAAAGATCACTTTTGTAAAAATGGGTCTTTTTTGGGAAAAAGGGGTCACTTTTGTGAAAAAGAGTTCACTTCTATGAAAATTTAGGTCACTTTTGTGAAAAATTGGGTCACTCTTGTGAAAATTTGGGTCACTTTTGTTCAAAAAAATGGTCACTTTTGTTAGAAAAAAAGTCACTTTTCGCAAACTGTTCGACGTAAAATAAAATTATTGTAAATTGGGTTTAGTTGTATACATTGCCTAACAATAAGCTTTCCGACAATAACTATCACTTATTCACTCCAAATCTACATGTAAAACTTTAATTTGTGTTCGTTGTGGAA